TTGATTGCTCTTAGTTTGATCAACTGAAGCCACATCCACATGTAATTTTCCACTCTCTGAATGTCCCATGTTCAGTACGTCTCTGTTTACGGCCTTGAGGCCAGTGTTCAGCCTAATATTCAAGCGTTGTCATGAGTTTCGAATCTAACTCCGGAACAAGATCAGTTCAGGTTTCAGCTGAAACTTGGGTTCAAACCCGAGTTGTATCCATTTTCAGATTCTGTAGCCTAATTCCTGTCTAATTCAGGAATGCTGATTTTGCTGATAGCGTTTACGTTCACGATTTATGAATGAGTAAAGCGAATGAATATTGCAGAGCATTGTATCGATAAATTTGATTCACACTATACGGATTCATGTGGGGTTGGAGCATGGGCAGAGAAGTGGTATTTCGATCATCTGACTGGATTATGTCATCCGTTCTGGTACGACGGCTGCTTATCGACATCGCAGAATATTTTCAACGATCGTGAAACGTGCCAGTGGCTCTGTGAAATGCCTTGTTCGTTTCACATTCTCTTTGGAATACTAATATTACTCACCTGCAGTCATAGTGGTGTATTTATATCAATTTTGTTATGTTTGGACAGATTGATTTACTACCCATCTCAAGACTCAATATCAACTAAACTTTGCCTACGAAATCATTTGATACTTCAGTACAGCCATTTGAGTATAGCCAAGGACAATGTTATAGAACTTTTCTCACAGAAGGATTCGTGATCATAAATGCCTTTCAGCGCTACCGAGCAGTACGGATGTCACTTCGAAAGATGCCTACCGATGTCTCGAGGAGAAATCGCCTGGAATGTGCAAAGAAAAGTTGGTAAAAATGAGAATATTCAGAATAAATTCGATAATTGAAACTAGAAACCTCTCTAGTGCCTCTAGTGAGCACAGTTTTCTTGTAAAGATTGTTTTGGCTACAGATTCATGCCGGAATGTGGCCTTGCCAAGCAGATGAGGTCAGTAGTTCTCTCCTAGAGACTGATTTTAGCCTAAGTGGCCAGATTTTACCTAGCATGCTGTGTATACCCAATCAATCATTCGGTATTTTATACCATCAGTAACGATGTTGTTAATCAGTGGTTAAGATTTTATTATTATGACAGAACGGGGCTGATAACAATTGATTAAGATAAAGAACAATGATAGATGATAATGACAGAAGTGATAAAATAAGCTTTTCAGGTATCCAGCGTACTTCTATAACAAGGAAACACGTCGTTGCGAACCATTTGCTTACAGCGGTTGTGCCGGAAACGGAAATCGTTTCCTGACTTTACAACAATGTGAGAGCATATGTAATCAATTCCGAAAACTTTCAGGTACTTTAAAATTATATTTTAGTGCTACAAATGTTATCTTTGTCGCAAATTTCCTCAAGATATTGGTTAATTCAGTCACTTCACTATTAGGTTTCATTGATAATGAAGAGAAGAGTGAATTCTGTGTAGTTTTGATGTATCACTGGTCAATGCAGCTGAGCAATCTTGCAATAGAGAATGCACGAAGAGAATGAAAATGTTTATCAAATGCAGTCAAAAAACATTGAGAAAAACAACAGAGATGCAATCAGAGAATGAGATTCATGCTCTAACACATGCGAAAAGAATGAAACAGGGCAGAGTGGCACTGAAAAGAATGAAACTTTATGTTAGAATCATTAGTAAGCTGACATATCGATAAAATTGAAGATTGTCATGATCAGGGTGTCCAGGACACTGATATCAACGTATTTCAAACTGAGAACTCATTGATTTCAATTGATGTACGATCTTAAGCTCATAATGATGCATTTTCCAGTAGCATTTACTTGTAAATGCCCGGAAATATCCGCAGTTTCCATCCAACTGCTACTATTCATCGTGAAAAATCTGATTCTGATTTCGACAACCAAGGTCTAAGGGAGAATATTTTAAAATATGGATGAATAGAATGTTTTCAGCGATCGAAACTGATTGTTATCTGCCGTTATCGGTTGGGAGTGGACGTGGTGATATGCACTGTCAAAAGGATGCTGGATTCCGATACTACTATAACAAAGATTATGGTATAACACAATCGAATATGTTCAGATATCTCACATTAATCATATAAAATCATACAAAAAGTTGATTCAATGCTTGCCCAAACCTGACATTTCATTAATTGCAAAATAACGAGCGGCTGATATCTCGAATTGACTGAAACTGATGAAAATGTTCAGGAATAGACAAATGTCGAATGAGTTATTTTGATCAAAAATGACATAGTGATGGATCAAAAAATCTTCACGCATTTCAGGTCGCTGCGGTAAATTCTGGTATTTTGGCTGTGGTGGAAACGGAAATCGCTTCTTCACATACTCCAGCTGTGAACGAGTCTGTAGACGGTCATCGAGCATGTTGACAGTCGGTGAACCACGAGAACCGTCAAGTAAGGGCAAGAAAAGCAACGTTAACGCCGACCTCAAACATTTTGCCTACCCAATAGATAATTTCTCCAAAAAATTTCTAAAGGAAGACATTCACAGCAGAAATCTTCCTGAATAAATGAAATTTTTAATATTTCTCTATAAATTTTCAACTGTTGATTAATGATTAACTTATTGTAATAGAGAAATGTTTTCGATTTTCAACTTGCCACTCAATTTTTCTTGAAAACCCTCTCAGGATCCATCTGAGGTTGACTATTTAAAGTGTTTAAGCTATATGCGTGATATGGTCCTTCAATATGATAACTGTATACAATATGATACAGTGATTCCATGAAATAAGATTCCATTCCATGAAACCTAAACAACAAATAAGATTTATAAATACGATTGCAATAGCATGACGAAATTATTCTGATTGCTCATAGGTCCATCTTTCGAAGTGCTTAGAGAGCGATTCATACCTATCGATTACAAATCAAATGAATGGAAAATGTACAACTTGACCAATTCCAGTATGTTTCTTACCACGTGAAAAAGGCGAATGTGCAAAAGGAACGGATCGCTCGCAACAGAGATGGTGGTATAATTCGGAGAAGTTGATGTGTGAAACGTTCACGTTCAGTGGATGCGGTGGAAATGCAAATCGCTTTGCTAGCCTTTATTCATGCAAATCGCATTGTGATGGCTTAATCCGTCCCAAGTCACGTACGTTTTCTCGATTAGCCAATCACTTTTTGCATTATAAACCCCAATTTCTGGGCTCGGTTGTGAATGTACATTTGCGATCGTCAGATATCCTAGATTTGATGATCATTCGGAATCAATGGTCCACTTTCCGCACCCGGTACTCATTCTGCGGGATCACCCATCCATTATTCTTTATTTGACAGCAAAATCTCAGGCGATTTTATTGGTACACTTAGAACATTTGATCTTTGCCATGAAAAGTTTGATATTCTTAATATATCAACTTCGAGCCATATGTT